TTAATACATTCAATTCATATATATGGCTTTGTATCTGTTAAAAATATATTCACCAAAACCAGGGTTTAAAAATTACCCTCACTTTTGTTGTCAGGGAGCACCAGTCTCTTGATAGGTTTTAATGACAAATTATCTTACCTGTGCATTCAAGCCCAAAACGCTCTAAAATATTTGTATCACGGGAAAGAAATACGGAAGAAAGAAATTTCGGCAACTTACTCTAAGTGCTCCAGGCAGTTGAGTGACAGTTCCAGAACTTACTTGCTGGCTGGCTGGTTCCAAAGCCCAGAATCATTTCTCAAACTCTCTTCTATCATAACTTCAAGAGGGCACTTTATATATAACATACCAAGAGGAGATTGCAGACCTCAAAGCTCTGCATAACTTCTTTCCTACCAACCCTGTTGCTCAGATCTGGAAAATCTTTGCCTGGCAACTTCCTGTCTGCGGTGTGTCACAGGCAGCTTCATGGGACTATGCTAATTTCCAGTGTCTATGCTTACCCAGGAGACTCCACCACCTTGAGCAACACCTGTAGCCTGTTACCTGCTTTTAAAGAGCATGGGGGTTGCAAACAGGATTCCTTCTGTGGTACCTAATGAATCTCATGGGTGGACATAGGGGGCTGTGCATTAAAAAAAAAAAAAAACACATTCTCTTTGACTTCCGCAAAAGGTAAATGCCAGTTGAAAGTGAGTGACATATTTTCAATCCACTAGTACATTGGAAAATAGACTTACCACTCATTCTCCCCTTATCTTTCACTTGAGAAGGTTCAAATCTTGACTCATGCCCATTATTCTCTCCTTGTTGAGATTTACTTTATTACAGTGAATTGAATCTTTCAAAGTATGGAATGAGGCAATTATATTTTTTCACGCCAACCCCATTCTTTATGCGTTTTGTAGCATTTTCTCTTACAGAAGAGGAGAATTACAAGGAGAAGCTGGCTTTCTTTTGCACAAAAAGGGCCTAGTCAGAGGCTGCACAGAGGCAGCTGTTGAATTGCTGAAGGAGGAGGCTAAAGACGTTGGCCTTTGCAGCTTCTATGCCTGGGGGGAGCTTCTCTGTCCCTCGTGGGTGGTGGTCCCAGCAGTTTGAGGGAGCCTGTCTCAGGTAAGAGCACAAGAACAGCAAGGTCTTCTTAAAAGGGGCCTCTGTGAGATGCTCTCCAATGGCTTCAAGCGACTACATCCTTTTCCTCAATCTCATTCCTCTGTGCCAAGACTGTTAATGCTCCCAGGTCATCAGGCTTTCAGGACTAATGTACAGGACTTCTCTGTGGACTAGACCAGCCCTTCCAGGTCGAGTGGCGCTTGTTTAGCTCAATTACTACAATTTATGAGGCACATATCGAGTTATAAGTAAAGCTTTTAGTTTCCTGTTCATCATTTTTCTGGGTCACATTGCTGGTCTTGTCGGTGGCCACATCATGAGCTATGGCCGTCTGGGTACTGCCTTGAGGGACGAAGGACAACAAGCTGGAGAGGCTGAGTTCTGGGCATGCTCCCACCCCTGTGTTAGAAGCTATGGAAACACCATCTCGGTCTTCCCAAACACCAGTACCTTCTTCACTTTTATTACTGAAGGTAGCTCCCCGAGAGGAGCTCCATCATTAGTTCCTAGTTCACCTGAAACTTAGGATGATGGAATGGAACATGCTTTAAGGGAGATACTGCAATGGTTGGTCTTTAAAGACTCATCCAGAATTTAAACCTTAACAATAATGACAATGATGTTATTAACTTACTAGAGTGTGTTCTTGATTACCCGTGAGACAATGATAAATCAGCTCAGGTGACAGTCTTACAAGACAGGTCTGTCCATTAGTGCCATTTTAGAGATGAAGAGTCTTTCCTTGTAGGGATTCACCTACTTGCTTATGGTCACACACTTATGGAAGGACATGATTAGGATTCTAACTAGACATCTGGAAACAATTTGTTATTAACCACTGGGACTGACTGTCTTGACAAATCTGTTGACTTCCTCAGTACAGATGGTCTGTTTGCCACTGTTTCCAATATGGTATATAATAACTCTTCTTCTCCAATTGATCAACATTTATAATCTCCAGGGCCAGCAAGGGAGACAAGAAAAAAGTGAAGAAAATAGGAGAGAAACGGTGAGAAATATACTGGTTTCATTCCACAAGTAGGTACTGAGCCCATGAAGATGAACTTTGTACCAGGAGAGTACTGTGCCTCAGACAGAGACCCTAGTGAGTGCATCTTGGTGTCATCCTTCAATGTGTTCTTGGGTGGAAAGCCGTTTTTACCTGGATACTTTGGAAATGCCAATGCAGTGATGACATCGCAATGGGGGTTTCCATGAGATGCACTCCTTATTAGCTGGCGTCTGTCACATTCTACTGTCTGATGCCAAAGTACATCTGCTAATTTGCCATCCTTATCATTTCCCTGTTTTTCTTTTGAAATTTCCAAGGTAATACCCAATTATACAGTATCTAGTTCTTTTTCTTTCCCACTTACTAATGATCAAGGCTCTAAGATAATTTCAACAGGCAGAGAGCGGGAGTAAAGAATGAACACTGACGAATAAGAGAAGCATTCTTCTCTTACAAGTTTAATTCTCTTATCAGTGCATTAATTCTGTGCAAGTTCACAAGGTAATTACTTCCTCCATGTAAGCAAGACATGTTAAATTAGGGCACTGGGTTTACATTTGAACAGCAGAAAAACCTAACAGTTTAAATGAGCGATGTTCCAATCTGTTTACATATTTTCTTTCGAAAGAATGGTACAATTTACTAATTGCTAATTTTGTAATTGCTGTTGTGAGTTGATTTACTTCCAATATTTGCTGAAATGTATCCAAATTACAATGAATAATAACAGGGCAATTTTCAGGTTTTAAAAGGGTAAAATACATTAGAAAAAAAAAAGAACCCAATTAGGATTTATTTTAATAAAAATGCTGGCATTATAAGAGTACAAAATGGCAGGGGGGATTTAAAATTAAAAAAAATTGATACAGTCATCTCATTTTAACATTTTCTTTATGTTTGTTATACTGTTTGGTTTTCATTGGAAATGGGGAATTTTTTTGAAAAACAACAGAAGCCATCTCCAAAATGTTTTTTAAATGTATAATGAAAACTAAGGATACCCAAGTTCCCTAATTTGAACTGTGATCCATAATAGAAGACAAAGTACACCACAAATTCATCGTGAAGATTCTTTATCTTAGAGTCTATAGCTTATGGATTTGATTTCAAGAGGGACTATCACCCTACCCATGTTAAGAGCTTATGGGTTGCACCAAATCTTCTCTGAACCCCATTTTACTATGACCTTCACTTAATCTTCCTCAGCCTGTTTCTTGCTCTGTACAATGGGCTATGAGAACCTCCCCAGTGAGATCAGAGGCAGATAACTTAGCACAGGTAAAGGCTTAGCTCTGAGTCTGGCACACACAGTACATATATGTTACTTAACATTATCAACCTTGCATCTTAACAAAAAAAAAAAAAAAAAATCTGATCCCAGAATCGCTTTACTCCATCCTCTAGAAATTCTTGGAATCACAGCTCTCTTCTTGGTAAACAGACATTGAAGGAGAGCTCAAAAGAGTAAAGTAAAACCAGGTTCTGCCATCCTTGTTGCTCATTTCCTATTGGTGGGAAGAATGAGGCTGAGCTCTAGTGCACAGACTTGCTCATCTCATTCCATTTCCTACCTCCCAGCCCAGTAAGAGGAAGGGTCCATAATTTCAATTCATTGGCTAAAGATCTCATGACCACATGAGTGTAACATTACCATGGTCCCCATTCTGCATGTAGGGAAAGTGAAGCTCAGAGAGGCAAAGAAACTTGAATAAGGTTGCACAATCAGGACTGGTGAAGTTGTTACCACAATCCAGGAAGCATGACTCAGGCTGAACTTGTGATTCTGCATGTCCATAAGCCCTGGACAGGACTGCTAGAGATATCCTGTCTGTATATTTTCTAATTATTTCCCCTTCAACAGGTAGACAAATGTACCCATTGCAACTCTCCTTAAATTTAAATACAAACACAAACACACACACACACACACACACACACACACACACACACACACACACCTACAGTTTCCTCACTGGATTCTACACAAATTCAATCCTCAAGAAAGAAAATGATTGAATTAGAATTTTAGTTATCATTCTCCTTATATTAACAATAACATTTAGAATGCTTACTGATTAAAAACTAAAATCTTTTTACAGTACTAAAATCAATGTTATAGTACTATAACATTGATACCAAAGAGACAGTCTGTGAACAGTGTCATGAATTTATAACAATTTGAGGAAAAAACTGTTTCATTAAAGAAAAAAAAGAAATTAGATATCTTAACTATATAAAGTAAATTTTATTCTTTCTTTCTCTTCACCTTACAGCTGAAATAGAGATCACTGTTCCAAATTACTCCTTTTACTGAATCAGTAGGGTATAAAATAATTAAACGATGTTAAAAGATGAAAAGTTAATGCTGGTTGAAAATACAAGAAAGATAGCATCAGTGTAGCTATTATAGTGTGTTATGATTTAGATACAAGATGTCTCCCCTAAAACTCATATGTGAGACAATGCAAGAATGTTCAGAGGTGAAATGATGAGATTATGAGAGCTGTAACCTTGTCAGTGCATCAATCCACTTGAATGGATTAATTGGGTGGTGACTGTAGATAGGTAGGATACAGCTGGAGGAGATGGGTCATGGGGCATGCCCTTGAGGTTTATGTTTTATCCCTTTTGAATAGAGCTTCCTGGTTGTTCTGAGCTGCTTACCTATTCTACTGTCTTCTGCCATGATGTTCTGCCTCACTTCAGTTCACACCTATGGAGTCCACCGACCTTGGACTAAATCTCTGAAACCTTGAGCCAAAATAAACTTTTCCTTCTCTAAGTTGTTCTTACCAGATCTTTAGGTCACAGCAACAAAATGTTTTTCCAGGTAGTTATTCTTCTTTTACCACAATGAATAATGCAGGAGCACTTGAAGGTTATAAATTTTATTAGAATAATAGAAAATAATACATACAGATAACCATAGGATACACACACAGGAATTTAAAGATCAATTTCATCCTTTTCAATATGAAACAATGTCCAAATCTCATGGAGATATACTGCTAGAAATAACACGGAACAAGAGTCATCATCTTGAAAATGAAAAGTATAGGAGCATATTATAGGAATTACTAGATAATAAAAAGGTACAACTCCATTACATGTAGAATAAAATACAAGTATTGGAGAACATTTCCCCACTTTTTGACTGGAAATAACAATGGTCATATGAAATCTACTCGTCATTCAGATTTTTTTCTAGATATATACAGTATATACAGACACTACAGAGAAAGTTATACTTTTCTCCTTTGTATATAATGAGTTTATCTTAAATGTAATCTAAATATAAAATGGTATCAGAATTTTGCTAATTCGTAATCTTTCTTGAGAGATGAACTGTTTGTTGGTTTTAAATTCTGATATCTCTGGAAAGACGAACAAGTTACAGCAAAATGTGAAATTGGTAGGAAAGAGGTAAAAAAAAACTAATTTTGAATGACTAACACTCATATGCTGATTTTCATATATTCTTTACATATTGCTATGAAGCCGTGTCTCCAACGATGCTTTGAAAACCACATATTGAAAGACTGAGTCATACACATCAAAGCCAGCAACATTGCTGTGGTTCTATTACCAATTTAACTCAGGAACTAAAATGCCTGCCTGACTCACTGCAATAGGCAGTGAGATTTCATTAAAAAAAAAAAAAAATCTCCGCCATCCAAAATAGAGAGGGTCCTTTAATGGAATCAGAAATTGGAAAGGAAGAATCTTGTGGATTTTGTTTAACATTTGGGTTGACATTCAGGGTGCTACTTATTTTCTCCACTGCATTTTAATAAGGCCTGAAAGTTTATTCTCAGGTGTGAAGAAAACAATTCCTGTTCTAGTTTTGTTTTAAATTTTGAGAAAGGATAAAATGTGCTTATTTCCGTTTTCTATCATTGAAGGAAAAAGCATACTGGAATGCAAGTTTAGAAAATGACTTTCAAATGCTCAGGGAAATTCATGCCAGTATTTTGCAAAGGGACATGGCATTTGGGGTGACAAAGCCCTTTCGTGGGTCCTTCTTTATCTTTTAACCATTAATTAATTCATGGGGCAGAGGCAGATCAGATGGTTATTATTACCTCCACATTTTGTAGATGAATAATTGAGAGGTAGAGAGAGCAGAGTGATTTCTAAAGTCTCACAGCCATTTAGTAGTGAATACACTGAACCAGGTCACCCTCCTCTGCTCCAGAGCAGCATTTTCCAAAAACACTCCTGAATCACAAACACCACCTCCTTCCAGCAGGGTAAGTGTTTAAATGCATTTTTCAACCCGTGGGGTTTAAATCATTTAAATCTTTAAAATGATACTTATTAACTCTTCAAACATTGCTTTCATAACTGGAAAAGAGTTTTTGGAATAAATTAAGAGTTTTCCAATGCAAATAAGAAACTCTGTGTGTGTGTGTGTGTGTGTGTGTGTGTGTGTGTGTGTGTGTGTGTGTGTGTATGTCGGGGCGGAGGTTTTTATCCATAGGCAGTGCTTAAACTCATAGCTTAAGAACATTTGTATCAAAAGTTTGCAGTATGTAACATGTAAATTCCTTTGGTTTATCAAGTAAATATTAAGGCATTTCAGATTCCTATAAAAGGATTTACTGTTGTTTTATTATACTCTTATTTTACCTATAATGAAGTAGAAAGTTAAAAACACAAAGTTGGAAAAAAAAACCATGCATAATCACTGTGTTTCATGAGAGCACTTATTATGGTAACCAATGAACTTTCCAGTAAATAATAAAAAAGAATAAATATCACCATAGGGCATTTACAAGGAAAAACAGTACCATAGGTATATAACTTGACACGGGGTGGACATTCGAGATGGCTGATGTGGATCCTCTTGCATCCATATCTGTCAAAGATGATAAATCGCTCATTAAGAAGGACTATAACTCTGATAAGTAGACACTGATCCATAGTGGGGGGGCATGGGAAAAATGGAGGAACTGTGATTGGGCCAAGGGGAGGGAGGGTAGGGATGGTGCATGGGGGCAGGAAAGATGGCGGAATGAGATGGACATCATTACCCTAGGTACATGTATTACTGCACATATGGTGATATGCTACATCATGTACAACCAGAGAAATGAAAAGTTGTGCTTCGATTGTATACAATGTATCAAATTGCATTCTGCTGTCATATAGACTTCATTAGAATAAATAAAAAAAATAAAGGAGGACTGTATTAACAGGTAGTCAGGGTGGTAGAGAATGCATGCATATGTCCTCCCGAAAATCACACATTGACATCCTAGCTCCAGTGTTGTGACATTAGGAAATGAGCTCTTGACAACTGACACAGAACTAGCTGCATCTTGACATAAGAGTTTCTAGCCTCCAGAACTGTGAAAAGTTAAACTTCTGTAGTTATAAGACACCCTGTCCAGGATGTATTCTTACAGCATTCTGAAGGACTAAGATGCAGACAAAAGTGATGCGTTTCCTGTCAAAATCAAATCACGGCATGAACCTAACCTGGGACTACAAGTCCTTATTTTATCTATCAGTGCAACACATAGGTGTTACCAAGGGTATCCATAAAATCACCAACGTGTTTAGGATTTCTTAAATGAATCTACACTTTGTTTATCTAGGATTATTTAACTTTAATTGAAATTGAAAAAAATCCAAGTTAGTCATTTTGCCATTAATGATACCTGATCATATAACTTGATGGTTTAATGAAAGAAAACGTCATTGGATAAATGTCTGGAAAATCTACTTGTTTCTATTTTATGCAGATGAATTATTGTACTTAATACAAGACATCATCTTTTAAAATGCAATCGATGAAAGCTCCATTTTCAGAGACGGCCTTGTGCGGGCACTGGTCTGTGCAAGCTCAGCAAGTCCACAGACGAAAAGGCTGCTCTTGACTCAGCAGCCTGAAAATGCCACGGTGGCGGCTGTCCCTGCAAAAGCAAAGAAGCTGCTTCTTCCAACAGAGCCCTTCTGTCCACGCTGTCATGCTAACTCCAACACCTTGCACAATGCAAGAAGCAAGGAGTATTCCCTACTGTAAAGCCTCAGCAAATAACAATTAGCAACCTGATTCCTGTTTGGGTCTCCTGAAGCACACACAGATATACAAATCTCTGCAGTCTGAAATAGTTGTTTACATACTTATTTACAGACAGGTAGCCCCCATTTTCTTATTACTTTTAGTTCAAGTGTGGCCGGTTATGATTTCATAGAAAGAGAGAATTCCTGCAAGGGTTGATCTCTCCCATTTTCTTCAGTCATTTTCTTTTTCAAGATTAAAGAAACTTGCTTCAGTCTTGGTCACCTGCTACTATATAGACTAAACCACAGTCAATAAATGAAAACCGGGAACAAAGTTATTTACGTCACTGAGGATTGTAGAATAGACTATGAAGACAGGGTAGGCTCCGTGTTACTTAAATTGAGGCCTGAAAACTCCAGACACAGGATTTCAAAGTGAAGATACAAGTTCTCTTCCATGGTCACTGATAAAAATATGTATGCTGGGGTTTGTTCCTCTTCACTCTAAAAGTCTACTTTCTTTCTTTTTTTTAAAAAATATTTTTTAGTTGTCAATGAACCTTTATTCTTTCTATCTATCTCTATCTATCTCTATCTATCTATCTATCTATCTATCTATCTATCTATCTATCTATCTATCTATCTATCTATCTATCTATCTATCTACAGTGCTGAGAATGGAACCTAGTGCCTCAACACATGCCAGGCAAGTTCTCTTACCACTGAACATAACCCCAGCCCCCTAAAAGTGTACTTTCAGTGGTGAAATAGCTTTCATTAGGATTTTAAGAGGAAAGAGCATGAAATTCTTCTGAAACTTGGAACAGATTTCTTTAAAAATGTCATCTTTTTTTTGTGTGGCATGTGTAAAAGTTTCATGACTTTGACAATGCTAATTTTCCTACTGAAAGAATTGATAAGATCCATCTATAATTTTTAGGAGGCATACAACTGGAATATCAGAGGTCTTAAAAACAGGGCATGGGTTCAGGCTTGCCCATGAGAACTGCTTTGGGAATTCTATTCTAGGCAATCTACAGGTGCATTAAATAAGGGAAATAATTCAAATGAATGAAGTTTTTAACTACTTTTCCATGTCTTTCCTTTCTGTGCTCATATTTTTCCCTGTTCTTCACCACTCTAGGAGGTTTTCTTCCTGGTTTTACTTGCTCATGTTGCAAAATTACCTTGTGTTCACATGAAGGGCATGCTGGGAGGAAAGGGTGGGTGGAGGGAGGGGCAGTGGCTGAAGGGCTCCTGGTGGCTAACAACACTGATGCAGCTCAAGGGGAAGCTGAGTCCAACCAACTTACTGGTTATTCTTGGAATCCTGATCTGCTCACTGCTGGTGCCGTCCCCTCCATCTGTGGTGGCCTTGACTTCAATAATGTAGTCCTCTTGAAAGGGCAGCACAAGTTCAGCTGAAGTTTTGTTTGTGTTCAGCACTTGCACGCTATTTTGACTGCTAGTCCTATAGAATACCTAAAATGCATGAACAAATACACTTCATTCTTACATTACCTTCTTTTACTTTCTTCACATACTCTTGTTGCTCTGAAATTATTTTTGTCATTCTCTCCACAACAGAATACAAAAACACATTCCCAGCTCCATGCATAGGTCTTGGATTATGGATTAGCAGACACTAGGATCATTATGCTCTCAAAATCAAGGAGGTGGGGAAGAGCAGCTTTCTCCCCTGGAGGAGTTTAGCTGGAAATATAGAAAGCTGATTAACACAATGCACAAACATCGTGTCCACAATTCCCATGTGAGCAGCATTATTTTATGTAAGTCTGTACTTAACAATTCAGAGAGTTTGGTAGTATATTCTTTTATGAAAAACTTGATGTTCATGTCAAAATTAGATTACTGAAATAATATCATCAAAATTTTTAAAGATTTGCAAAGTATAAGTGAAAAAGGGAAAATACAATGTTGCAAATGATTCAACTTACTTTATAGCCGGTTACTTCTGATTCATTCTCCATTGCTTTTACTTGCTCCCAATTAAGTAACACTTTAGTGTCTGTAGCATTCCAAACCACATTCCCAGGAGGCTGACTGGGAGCTTGCAATGCAAAAAGGAGAAATTAAAACTGATTTGAGCATGGAGTACTGTTTTACATGGAGCAGATACATGCTGAGCACTAAGGCAACTGCAGGGACTCTCCTGTAAGGCATGGTATGTAGATGGAATCAGGAAAAAGAAAAATTAACAGAATAGAAAAACTTCCTTTAAAAGGGGCATTTCAATTAAACTGTGAGAAATTGCATGTTATCATATTCAACACATACTTTATTTATTTTACTTAAATTTTTTGGTACCAGGGGTTGAACCCAGGGGCGCTTCACCAGTGAGCCATATCCCCATCTCTTGATTTTATTTTTTATCTTGAGACAAAGTCTCATTTAGTTGCTTAGGACCTCTCTAAGTTGCTCAGGCTTTGAACTTGCAATCTTCCTGCTGCTGGGACTATAGGCTTTTGCCACCACACCTGGCTTAACACATACTTTAAGGATTTAATGCACTTCAAGTCTCCCAGAAGACAAACTGACAATACAGAGACGCAAGTTCCTTTATCCACCACTAGAGGGATGCTTGTGGGTGAGCCAGGAAAGGCAGGCATTTGGACTTGTTTTGACACACAGAGAGGCTGAGAGAAATTGCCAAAGGAGCAGATTAAAGTCACACGAAATGAAGTGTGGATGATTTTCAAGCCAGTGTTGTAAGATGAGATGGGCAAAATGAGAGGCAATCAAAAATAAGAATTACTTAGATTTATTCTCGTGAAGTAATAGCTACACATGTGAAAAATTGCCACAGAGAATCCATATTTTAAAGTCTTTTTTCTGAGTTCAAATCAATTTTTGAGAAAAATAAGGCAAAACACTAAAAATTTAATGAGAATTCCATTAGAGGATTAATGAAACTCTCATAGGTTTATAAACATGGACCCACAGCTTAGCAACCCTGGAGAGGAAACTGGTTCTGGGGGACTCGGGTGGACATGGTCAGAAGCACTCCCTAATATGGAAGGATGGGACGTTAGGGATTCAGTTCCTTGTCAATCGAAAAACAGCAAACATATTACTCATTTTTCAACAGCATCACAACTGCCCAAAACATGCTGAAATATCTTATTCTTGTGGATTTAAGCACAGAATGTGATTTGGTTAACTGAATTTGTAATGGGAAAGTGATATAAACAATTACCTCTCCAGAGGAATTTCTAAACATCATTGACTCACGCCAGGATGGAAATACAGCTGGACTTACAGATGGGAAAAGCTCTCATGTGCAGTTATGTGGCTAATAACACCGTTCAAGACTGTCCTCCTGGTGGGTTCTTTGGTTGATTGTGTCCTCTTTAACACTGTTCTGTTGCCTTTAAATTTTTGTGATGTGATACTAACAGATCAGCTCAGATTGTCTACACTGCAATGCTGTGATAAGACATCTGTAAGAATGTATATGGGCAATTGCTTAGGACTGACATACTAGAGAGAATGTTCTGGTTGCCCAGTCCAGATGCTATGAACCCACACTTGTTAGAACACTTTCCCAGCGCCTGTGATTCCCTGTGGCTAACAGCACCTTAAAAGGACAGCTTGATTTGATGCAGCTCAGAAAACATCCTTCATTCAGCATGGTTTGGCCTACCAAAATATGGGTGCTTACAGGTTATAGAGAGTTTGAGTAATTTTGGGTAAATACACTGACCCCCAACAGCAGGCTGGCAGAACATATGACTGAAAATTGGGATTTGTCTTGTGTGAGTCCCAAAATAGATGACTTGAATGAGTTCAGCCTGAAATGAATACTCTTTGAAATGACAAAAAGAAAAAAAAAATCTGAAAAATGAAAGAGGAAAAATAGAGGGTTTCAAAGCTCTTTTCAAATCATATCAGTGTTTCCTGAGCACCAGAGAGACATGTTCCATTTTGACCATTTTGCTATTTTTGAAAAACGCACTTGTTTAAAAGCATAAACATTTATTTCAGCCTCATTCTAAACATTAACATTCACATAATAATGATCTGGATGTGCTAGTTACATTGCTTGATAGTATTTAAAGTAAATTAAACTAATATTTCACTTAGAATTTTATAATCACATGAATAATCATCTGCCTTATTATGACAGGGAAGAATGACACTATGTGGGAGATTCTGGGCCAGATGAACTTTCTTCCGTTTTCAAGATTCCATTGTTGCTAGTAACAAACGCATAGTAAATGTCCATAATGTGTTAGGAATTCCAGAATGTTCTTTTTTTAAAATTCCCTGCATTGTCATGGTGCCTATTTGTAAAACTCAGAGTTAATAAACAAAGATGCATACTTGTCACTCATGTTCATTTACAACAATGAAAAGGTGAACACAATCATTTTCACAATCTATCAGCACATGAATGGATAAACAAAAGGGGGCTATATGCATATGCCTTTAAAAGGAATGAAGATCTAGGCATGGTGGCCCATGCCTGTAATCCCAGTGGCTTCAGAGGCTGAGACAGGAGGACTGAAAATTCAAAGCCAATCTCAGCAACTCAGCAAGGCTATAAGCAACCTATTGAGAACCAGTCTCAAAAAAAAAAAAAAAAAGTAGGAAGGGTTGGGGATGTTGCTCAGTGAGTAAGTACCCCAGGGTTTAATCCCTGGTACCAAAAAACAAAAGGAATGACATCATGACATGTGCTATAACATGGATGGACCTGGAAGACATTATGCTAGGTGAGATAAGCCAATCATACAAAGAAATACTGTGTGATTCTGTTTATATGTGATAACACGGAATAGTAAAATTCAGAGATGGAAAGTAGGATGGCAGTTGCCTGGAGCTGGGGAGGGGAATGGGGCCTGGTCTCATGGGTGGAGAGCTTCAGTTCTGTGCAGTGGAGAAGGTCTTGACCATCTCACACAGCTGCATCAGTGCCCTTAACCCTATTTTAACCCTATTGCAAATGTGCATTAAAAAATGGCCAAGATGGTAAATTCCAACTTATGAATATACTTCAGTACAATTAAAAATTTTAACACAATCCTAAGATAGTTAACTAGGAAGGGGTGTTATGTGGATTCAAAACAGCTCTGTTTAATTCTGGACCCCGATGACCTTATGCTTTTCTACCTGGCATTAGGTAGGGCTGTGGGGCTCCTGCTGCCCTTTCTGGGGAGAGGACGTACCACCCTGCTCCTTGGCATCATGGGGACTTCAGGCTTCATTACCGGATATGCTTCCACCAGTGAAATATGAGCAAATGAGAAACAGGTGGTTTCAATGAGGGAGTTTTAAGAAAAAAATGGAAAGGCGTGGCTGGCGTTTCTTCTTCTTCTTTTTTTTTTTTTTTTTGGTGCTGGGAACTGAACTGGCCTTTCTTCTTTCTACCATGAGACCAGCACATCAGTGAGGGTGGCTGTTCCTGCAGTCTGGGTCATGGAGTAAAGATGGAACAGATCAGGTCTGAATCTCACTCATGATCAACATTTGGTGACTAGTAGGAAAGAGACACTCTTTTAGTTGTAAGCCATTGAGGAGTGGGGACCTGTAGAACTGCACTGAACTGGCCCTATGTGACTGATATGGCCAGTAGGCTACAGAGCTTTGAAGGCGCACTGTGAACTTCAAAGGCACAGAGCAGGTGTGAAGTGGGAATGGGCAGGGGATCTCCACAGAGCATCCCTCCTAAGACTTCTCATTTTACTGTTCTATTCTGTGCAGAAACACAACCCAGAATAGGCTGACTCAATTCCAAATGTTTTGGGGCCTAACTCGATGTGTGGTCTGCATTTTGAATGTTTTTGGGAATTATTTGTCAACAATCATATCCTATAGATTTTTTTCTCTGTCAGTTCAATTTCTATTATTGGCAGTATGCTAAGACAGAAAATGTGGCAACAAATGAATTTATTTTTGTATAAAGGCAGCATCTCCTAAGATTTGTAGAATAACACTGAGTGGCAGGCTATAAGATTATGTGGATACTTTTAAATGTTACATAACAAAATAGTTTTATCTTGGAGGGTTTTTCTTAGGTCCTCTGGGTTGACTGTCACTCCTCAATATCAGCCCTATCAATTTACTTATTCTGTAAACTCAGCCTGCAAAAAGTGGCCACTATGATATTTCTAAGACCGAATAAAGTGAGGATTTTAAGACATTCCTACAATAGGAAAATGACTAAATAATTTGTGGGTTGTTATCACAAAAGAATAAGATACAGTACTGTGATACACAGGTAACTAAATACACAGCATAACCTTCAAGAGATGTTTTGTGTAAGAGAAATAATCCATGGAACACAAGTCTGAGAGGAAAAGACAAATTATTTTAATGATCATATTTCTGCACGATAGGATAGGATTGTGGGTGATTTTATTTTCTTCCCCCCAAATTTTCTATAGTAAATATGTTTTCCTCCATATAATAAAAAAATAGAGGTTGTTCATCTGAAGAACATTGTTGTGTGGAGTTTTCAGGGATAATGTCTCCATACTGGTGACTGTACCTGGCATTTCCTTTAAAAATATGTGATTTCAAGAACATATGCTTGTAGAGATTAATTAAACAAAACTCAGTATGTTTCTCAGCTCCTTCTCTTGGACACCTGATGGTAATAAGATGACTTTCATGAAAGAGAATGCTGTCAGCAGTAGCTGAAAAATACACTCAGCACGGACTTCCCTTGAGATGATCATCAACATTAGTAAGCAAGCTGCCCCAAAATGTGGCACTGGGCAGAAATCAAGTAATCAAAAGCTACTTTCTGTCCAACAGGGAGAAAGATTCATTTCAGAATCACTTAAAGTATTATAAATGGACTTACATCTTTGGATCACAGGAAATGGATACCACGTTTTGAAACAGAAACATCTATTTTATGACTCATCCAAACCTCAGAAACTAAGATTCCCACTCTCCCCAGAGTGTTTGGATGATAGAAAACAGTCCTTAAGATTCTGGTGGGAATATTGCTATCCTGAAGAGGGAACTAAACTAAACCGATTCCACCAGGAAGAGAAACAGACCTGGAGAGAGTCACTGTTGAACAGATACTCATTGGGCAGCAGCTCTGATTACTTGGGAAAACTCAGGAGTTAAATAATGATCAAACCTGGCAATGTCTATGCCTCAAGGAGATGAGACTCCAGCAAAGAGGAGGGGGCAGCAATCAGATGACCACATGCAAGATGTGGTATGCACGTGGCTCTAAGTGGTGCCCCAGAACATAGCAGGATAAGGGGATATCAGGAGATGTAGGGCTGCTGATTAAATATGGACTCAGGGGGCACTGAGGACATACTGCAGGGAGGGCCTAAGAGAGGTAGGAGTGTCTCCTGGCCATCTGGACAGCAAAGGTCAAGGACCCGCAGGAAAAGTGGAATGGCAAGTGGGCTCAGGAGAAAATGAGCAGGAACAGGAAGTGGGGGACAGATTGTGGAAGACCTTTTTGGGTATTTTAAGGATTTATATAAAGAGTGGATGGAAAGGGACTGGAGGGGTCTGAGCAACAGTGTGACACCTTTAGGATCACTCTGACCCAGGGCAGAACATCTAGACAGTAAATGGGAGAAATGGGGTAGTGTGTTCCAGGGTGAATGCAGTAAGTGGTAGACTCTCAGCAAATTTAAAGTCAGATACTGCATCCATTGTAGGGTATGAGAGAAAGAGCATTAATGATGACTGGGATCTGCTGGTCCAAGGGACTGAAATAATGAGGGTTGCTTTTGCTGAAATTGTAGAAGACACAGGTTTGTAATGGCTGGGAGTGCAATCGAGAGCTCATTTTAAGAAATGTTCAATTTGAGATCTTATTAGATAATTCTTGAGGATGTCGAGGGCCTGGATCCATCCACATTGACAACCTCAGTTACCTCTTGAATATTCGGTTATGCAAAGCAAAATATTGGTCCTACAGATTCTTTCTTGTGAATTCTGGATGTGAAACTCTGACAAAGTCTCCTTTTAGAAAGTAACGACATTTCACCATTTTGAAGCCATCTGCCACTATTCCTCATCAGCCTCACTGACGACGATGTTGTCAAGAGCTCACTCTCTGGGTTGCATGTGACAGAAACACAACTTAGATTACTTCAAGAGGCTAATCAATGTTAACTTAAAAATGCTTTTAAGAAGCCCAAGTATTTGGATATCAAAAAAATTAAGTGTTTAATGGAAGCCACAGTACTTTCCTTGAGAATCCTTGTGTTATTTTACGTTAATTAGAAATATCACCTATGCTCTGTGCTGATATAAGCCTTGCATATAGAATTCCAGGATTCTGAGTAGGTGACAGTTGCACCTTGGAAGCAAGGTGGTAAAAGGCTGCAGTGTGTGTTCCGAATTTGCAATGTGTCGACAAGAAGAGGCTCATCTGATTAATGATAGTACTTCCAGGTTGACCTAGGTTTTGAGGATTCATCCACTCAGGCAGCCTTTCCACAGATAATGAGTGCTAGGTTTGGACTGGTGAGTGAGTTTGGAAGGACTCTTTCCCTTCAAAGGTGACACATCGAAGGGGGAGAAAGAGAGCAAGTGAAAAAAAAATGCCATCTTAATTCTTTATGCACCAGGGATACAGATCATTTTCTTCCTAGTAATATTCACAAGCGCATTACTATAATTCTTAAACAGGATTCAGAGCTGGACCATGTCAAAGGTTAGGATGATTAGTAGGAACAGTTTTAAAAGAGTCGGTTTTACTTCTACTTTGGCACATGTTTGAACAATTGTTAACATAAAATTTAAAAATTAAATGTACAGTTTAATATGCCCAGGGATTTTAATGATCTTTTATGGATTTCCCACACATTGTAGCAAACTTTTCCTTAATAACATCTGCAGGTCACCATGTAGAGTGTAGGCAAATTGAAGCACCAGGAGGGCATAATTTTGAAGAGATTTTATTCAGTTGTTGAAATTTCTATCAGAGGACTGATCTATCAGCACAGAAACCCTGTCTATCTGTGATTACCTTACCCAGCTCCTAAGCACAGAGCAAACTCAAAATAGATACTAGCACCACATGAGTCATGAATATTTTAATCATATGGTTAGAGGAGTGGTTAAGAGCGTTTCTGGGTCTGTATGGCTGTCCTGCCACTTTCTCTGCTATTTCTGTAAAGTCATCTAGCCCTATGTGCCACAGCCCTTTCATCTCTAGAGTGAGGATCCTCACCACTTCTAAGCCATGCAGTCACTGTGAGAATTAAGAATCAATACAGGAAAAGTACTTGGAACTGTGACTGGAAATTGCTCACTAAGTATTAGTCATTCATAGTATAATTATCATTATCACTGTTACGGACAAATTTCTACTTTAAATTGGTTATTTATATGCTATATCTAAATTATAAAAGGTTTTTTCCTTCTTGCAATTTTATTTCATTCATTGTATGTTATTGTTACATTCTCACTAACTTATAATCAGCCTCTTCCTTTGTGAACTGTCTTCCCAATTCACTGTTTTTCACCAATTCCATCATGACATTAAACCATCTTGTGCGACCATATTTCCCAATGAGTAATCACATCGATTATCAAGTCTGAAGAAAGAGCTCAACAAAGCTGTCTGCATACATCTTCACAATCAGAATTTCAATATATAAATAATGGTGTATTTATATGTTTTACTAATTCAGAACTGTTACTGGGAAAGACAAACATATTTAGTAAAAAGTTGTAAATACAGAACATTTTCAGTGTACGTATTTCCAAACCAATGTTCTCCTTTTTTCTAAGAGCAGCCACATGATATGCATGATATTGATTAGCCTTCCCTCATGATTGCCATATGAGCTGTTGCTTATGAAGGTACTAAAATGTTTTGTTGCTAAACTTTTGCTCTGTGATATTCATTATGCTGTTAAGCTACTAGCCATGCTCTTTTCCCCCTTATACATAATGCAAAGATAAATGTGCAAACTTCCCTGATAAAATTGATGCTTATTTATTAACATCTAAAGCAGTAGGATTATGTTTATATATATATTTTAAACTATCGATAACAATGCTGGCCCATTATATCCAACTTCATGTAGTTAAAGTTGTTAGACATTTTAGCCAGTAAATGTATGCTTTCAAATAAATTTGGAAATAATATATGAACGCAGGACTGGACTAATGGAATTGGTGACGAAACATAATCACTGACTCACTCCTTCATAAAATCAGTTAAGCAGATAAATTTACTAGAGTAAATTTTGAAAATAAATTAAGGAAATGGTTTTCTGCAAGCAAAAATATTAATGTGCTAAAATCCCCTCATTTCTTCACTCCCCTTTCTTATCACCTGTAGAACGAAAATAAGAAGGAACTGATCATGGACAGCTTGGTTCATGAATGCTCTTAGTCATTTTTGGCTATAAAATAATAAACAGCACAATTCATATAGGTGTGCTATGATAGAGCAGCAATGAGACATCAGCTGGGCATCATGAGAACACTCCAACTGAAATTTCCGTGGGACACTCCAAAATGTAAACCAATGATTTCTCATAGGCTACTTAAATCATAACTGCTCATTACTGCAGGTGTGTTTACCTGTGAACACACAGCCAACAGAAACTCATCTTTGAAGGTGACACAGCTATCTCTGACTCAGTTTTCAAAGTATCAATATCTACATGTGCACCAGAATCTCCTGAGCATTACCTGTTAAAAGTATACTGCCATCTTTTGAATAATGTGAGAAAGAAAATTAAAGAACGGAAAAAAAAAATACCACTTCCAAGTCGTTGGTATTAAGCTTATTTCTGATTATCAATAACACCCAAGATTTGAGGGAACTAAAATTTAATGGAAATGAACCCATTGAAATGCATCCCATTTAAAAAGAACAGTGCACCATAAGATTTTTCAAAAGGTGCTTATTCATTTTCATATGGAGCCTCCATGTAAATATTTAGGGCTATCATGAAGACTAGACTATGTGGGGCTTGAGTAAGGGTTTGGACCAGGTTTATATCACTCAGTGGGATTAATGACCTAACCAGTCCACTGAAAATGTTGAAGGATGCCATCATTTTTAATACAGACTATTTTCCTAGATATTCAAAAGGTGGGAAAATACATACGGGTTTTCTTGGTGGTCGCGTTAACTGTGGCACTGAAGGGGCCGGTGCCTGCACTGTTGTATGCCCGGACAGCCGCGTAATAGGCAAGGTTGCTCTTCAGTCCCCGGAGCCTGGCTGAGGTCTCGTTTCCGGCCACTCTCACCTTGCTTGAGGACTCCTGCTCTTCCCCACTGACCCAGTACCGCACCTGGTGAGGAAGATGCACCAGATGAGAAGGCTGGACCCAGCACCACCTTCCTCATTCTGTGGTTTTCATTAAAATGAGGACTGCGATTTACTTTCTTCTTTATTTGACAAATACTTCCAGAGGACCTACTGTGTGTCAGGTGCTGCATTAGGCTCTGTGGCACAGCAGGGTACACCCAGGAAAGGAACCCTAGGAGGAGAATGAGGACAAACATGTACACAGACAGAGCAGATAGGTTCAGAGAGTTGAGCATGATGAGACTACGATATCACAGTGGGAGAAGGAAGGGGAAATCTGCCTGCCTTCTCAACCCTTAACCAACTGAGCTCAAGGTCAAGTCCAGAACACTGGCAGAAAGGCATGAACTCTATGGACAGCTGAGGTTCCTTCCTGGAAGAAAGTGAACTGTCAGAGGAAAACATTATTAGATTGACTGTCCAGCAGTGCCAGTCACTGTCAGGTGACTAACAGTGCACACAGAGCTGCACCAGAGGGATTAAAAGCAGTTAAAAGGGCTGATTTTCAATAGGAATGGGCATTAAAATATTTTTCATATATTTCATTATCCTGGGCCACACAAAGTGATCTTAGACATACCAGGACATATAAAGAACTCAAAATACTTAACACCGACCAACCAACCAATCAATAAATGGGCTAAGGACCTGAACAGACACTTCTCAGAAGAAGATATACATTCAATCAACAAATATAGGAAAAAATGTTCAACATTTCTTGTCATTAGAGAAATGCAAATCAAAACTACTCTAAGATTTCATCTTACTCCAGTCAGAATAGCAGCTATTAAGAATACAGAAAACAATAGTGTTGGCGAGGATGTGGGGAAAAAGGCATACTCCTACATTGCTGGTGGGACTGAAAGTTGGTGCAACCCATCTGGAAAGCAGTATGGAGATTCCTTAGAAAACGTGGAATGGAACCACCATTTGACCCAGCTATCCCACTCCTTGGTTTATACCCAAAGGACTTAAAAACAGCACACTACAGGGACACAGCCATATAAATGTTTATAGCAGCACAATTCACAATAGCTAAATTGTGGAACTAAACCAGATTCCCTTCAATAGATGAATGAATAAAGAAACTGTGGTATATATACCCAATGGAATATTACACAACATTAAAAGATAATAAAATGGTGGCATTTGCAGGTAACTGGATGGAGTTGGAGAATATCATGCTAAGTGAGGCAAGCTAATCCCAAAAACCTAAGGCTAAATGTTCTAATAAGTGGATTCTGATCCATAACAGGGAGGGGGAGGCATGGGAAAAATGGAGGAACTTTGGTCCTGCAAAGGGGAGAGAGAGTAGGGATGGTGCACGGGGGCAGGAAAGATGGTGGAATGAGATGAACATCATTACCCTAGGTACATGTATGACTGCACATATGGTGTGATGCTACATGGTGTAAAACCAGAGAAATGAAAAGTTGTGCTGCAATTGTGGACAATGAATCAAAATGCCTTCTGCTGTAATTTATACCTGATTAAAATAAATTAATTAATTAGGAGAAAGATATACAAACATATGGTGAAAAAATATGAATATAAGAGAATATTTGCTGAAGGGAAGAAAAAGGTAGAGAATAAAATAAAAATACATTTTTAAGTACTTACAATTCACACTATAAAGTATTTTACTATAAAGTTTTGTGTGCTTACTTTTTTTGAACATACAGATTGACTATAAATAAACAAAGTAAAAACAAAAATTTATGCAAATAAATGGTTTAGGAAAGTGTACATATTCTTTGTGTAGATAAGACCTGGTATTACCATCTGCTGATCTAAAGCAGGGGCCACATAGTTAATACGACAGCAGATCTACCAAGTTCTCACAAGGTCATAAGCATATTTCTTACTTTTATAAATATAGACAATCTCTGTGCTCTCTCTCTTCCCTCTTTCTCTCTCCTTTTTTTTTTTTTTGTGTTGGGGATTGAACTCAGGGACACTCAACCAGTGAGCCACATCCTAAGCCCTATTTTGTATTTTATTTAGAGACAGGGTCTCACTAAGTTGCCAAGTGCCTTGTGGTCCCTAAGTCTGGCTCTGAACCGGCGATCCTCCTGCCTCAGCCTCCGGAGCTGCTGGGACTACAGGTGTGCCCACCACGCCCAGCTCTACTCTCTTCATTGCAGTATATGGCCACCTTGTTAGGGCCTTTATGTTTTACTGTTGAAGGCAAAATATAAAAATATGAAATAATTATTACAACTTATACAACTAAAAAGGAATTTGAGCTCAATGTTACTGGCAATAATTGATTCTGAGTGCACAGAATGTTGGAAATGGTAAAGGCTTGTGACCACAAGAAACAAAAACAAAAACTTAAAGACTAAGAACATAGCTCAGTGGCCAAAAAGGAAAAAAAAATAAGAAAGAAAAAGGAAAGGAAATAAGGCTTAAGGGACTGGGAAGCTGGACATAGGACAGAGCAGATTTTTAATAATGGAGCTACTCAGCTTTGCCTGATTGGAGGAGGATAGACTTTCTATTTAATTCATTTATTTATTTTTAAAAAGCAGAGTTCTAATTTTCATGTAAAATGTCCTAAATTTAGGGTTGGGTCAAAAGCAATACTGTGTTGATCAAACAAAATGTGCTTATGGGCCACGGCTGATTACAAGTGTCAGTCCTCTGTACAAAACACACCACAACTTATTCTCTCTTAAAACACCACTGGGTGAGTGTTAAGGTCCTAAATGATAAGTGAAAGCAAATTATATATTGTGCTAGATCAAAATCTCCCTATGTATGTGCACATGGAAGGATAAGCACCCTTATATTCACACAAAATGCTGATCTTATGGATGCATTTATGTGAATTTCTCTCAGAGAAGGGTTATTAGTTTTAATAAGAATCTCAAAGGGAGGATGTGAGCCCAAACAAGTAGCATTGAAGTGGATACATGGTTTCTTTTCTAATGCCATAGCCAAATAGCCTGTTAATGGATACTAAAAGCTTTTATATATGGCAGACTCACCAAGAGAAAACATTGTGTGTTGTTAGGTCTAGATGAGCCCTAAATGATAAGAAGATTTCCCTGCTCCTAAGAGCATTGTCTAGTTATTAACTAAGAATGATACAGATCAATAATTATAATAAAATGTACCAGACACAAAACCTGAAGCTTGGGTTAGAGCATAGACGGGGGTAGCATATAAATATGACTGTAAGACCGCAGCAGGGAGGATTCAGGTGGTAAAATCAGGACTGCCCAAGCTTCCCTCCCCTGTCAGGTTCCAGTGCCAGGGTTGTTCCTTTTCTGATATATCAAACTGGTTGAATACAAGTTGCCTAAGAAAATGTTCTTAGGAGACTGATTTAAAAAAGAGATAAAAAATAATTTATAATTGGTAATGTGGAATCTCTTTTTATAAATCCGTTTATAGAAAGTACTTGAAAGTTCTTGATAGCGGCATGTTTTAAAGTACTTTAACCAATCTCCACGCATCAGAAGGAGAGCTTTATTTTTAGATCTTAGTTGCTGAGAGGTATTAGAAACATTTAGACACAGAGAAAAATTGTGACAAAGTTGAACATGATACTAGTTAGTGAAGACTGATTATATAATCTTCTTAAACAGCTTTCCTTAAAGAGCTGAATAAATATTCATGTAACTAAAACATAAGGAAACAGAGACGTGCCACTAATATTGCCAATTTTCTGAAAGAATTCCATTATGTTCCAAGAAATTTTGTTCAAAAATGCTTCTATAAGGCTAGATCATTTTTTTTAATAAGGTGGAATAGTTAAGAAAGAAATAAGAAAGACAAATATCCCATTTTCCTCTCAGTTGTGTTCTGGATTTAAATAATAAAAGTACTCCAACTGAGAGAAGAGAATATTTCTATGCTAATTTGGATTTTTATGGGCACAATCACAAAAAAGGGATGGGGAAGGAAAGATGTCTATGTTGGAGGAACAAACTTTGAAAATGTAATTGTGCAGAAAAGGGTGAATATAAAGTTGACAGAATATGAAGGTGGCATCTGCAAAGGATGATCAGAGAGACGCACATTACCAAACACAAGACACACCCTGTTAATAAAAAAGCCAGTGTAGATACGACTAGAGGCAGGTCAGCTAAACACACTGATGAGTAATGGATTATAAAATAACTATACCTAAAATGTCCAAGTCTGTTTGACAAGAGATTGAATCTATTATACAAGAATAGGAGATAAAGAAAAAAAGATCGGCCCAATTTGAAAAACAATAAGTAGGACTTGTAGATCTGAAAAAATGCAATGATTAAAAAATTAAGGAAATCAGTAATAAGAATAAAGCTATAGACTAATGGTGGAAGGGTGAATTAATGAGCCCAGGACATAGCCTGAACAAAGAAATGAAAATTACCAAAGCGAAGCTGTGGCATTGAGAACAGAATGCAAAGTTCCAAACAGAGTTCCCAAAGGAGAGATGAAGGAAAAGGCAATGCTCAGAGGAAAAAATGGCTGAGATCTTCCCAGAGCTGAAGATATGGGCATTTTCATGGTGCAATCTCTGAATTTAGTGAGGGAACAATAAAAGGCACAGGAGAGGTTGGTTAAGACTGCCTTGGGTTCTCAACATGCTTCATCCCTAAGAATCTGTGGGATCCAGTCTGCTCCTCTGAGCCATTCCTGAGCCCCTGAGTTGGGGTTTGCAGGTGAGGCTGGGGCCTGGGAGGGAAGGATCTCATTTCCTGACAGAGTAGACAGCAATAACGCAGGCCGTGATGGGCAGGGGCCTCTAGGTTCTGGTCATTACTGCTGGCAGTGGACCTGTACACACAGCTGTCCCCTTGATCCATGCGTTTTCCCTCTGTGGTCTCAGCTGCCCTCTTTCAAAATGGGCAAGAAGGTAACAACATACACAAAGATACTTTGAGAGACTACTTTCATGAAATCTTTATTATAGTATATTGTTATAATTGTTCTATTTTATTATTAATTATTGCCATTAATCTCTTTATTGTGCCAAATTTACAAGTT